TCCGGGATTTTCGACGCACCATCTTTTTGATTTCGGCGAGAAGCAGAACGTAGTTTCCTCTCGAGCGTAGGGAGAAACGAAACATTTTCAACGATTATATCTTGAACGTTTTGCACTGGCGGAATTGACAGATTTTTGAAATCGAAATCTGTTGCCTTACACGAGGAATAATATTTCTAATTCGAAAAAATTATTCTTCTTTATCTTTATACATCAAAGGAGATAGAGAAGAAACGTTTTATTCGAGAAGAAGCTTCATAGATCATCAAAGAAAATAATTTCGTACGTTTTTCACTGCTGGAATTGGCAGATTTTTGAAATAGAAATCTGTTGCGTTGCACGAGGAATAATATTTCTAATTCGAAGAAATTATACATAAAGATCTTTATACATCAAAGGAGATAAAGAAGGAACTTTTTATTCGAGAAGGAGCTTCATAGATCATCAAAGGAAATAAATTTCGTACGTTTTGCACTGTTGAAATTGGCAAATTTTTGAAATCGAAATCTGTTGCGTCACACGAGGAAATAAAGGAAATAATTATTATTTCTCTTCTGAAAAATAAAACGTACACACACACACGTGATCACTGTAATCGCTTGAAAAAAGTTGGTAGAAACAATGATGGACGCTCACGAAAATTCGTATCCTCCTGAAGATAAAATTCAAAAAAATTGTGACCAAAGATTTACCAAGCGCTAGACCAAATATCGTATCACCTGTGCATTCTTTGTATTCCTGCCCACAAGTACGAAATCCACCAAATAAATGCAAACGTCACACACAACGCTACCCTCTGCATTGATCCGACTTTGAGAACAGATAGCTAGTTGGGAACAATCCCGAAACGCAATGATTGTGTAATTTCTTTCGAGGCGTCTCCCGGTTGAAGAGAACGAAAGAAAACGGGATTCCACAATGAGCCGGGGGATTATCCTCCTTCCCCGCCCCTCCTCCACTGTCAGATCCGCTGGCTGAAAGTCCTGGAAATTCGGGGAAAACGATTGTCGGACGCGTCCGTGAACTAGGTCCTAACCGCTGAACTATCCCAGTGACCGGGACTCGTTGTCCTTGCACTCGGTGACCCACTTTCAGGATCGGGAGAGATTCCCTCCCAGGTATATACCGAGATACGTGTCAAGGTCTCCCGTTCATCTCGAATTGACGCCGTTAGAAACAGCCCCCGGCGATAGAATAAAATCAGCTAAAGTTAGGGCGGTCAGAGTTGATGCACGATCATTCGAGAGTCGTTCGATGTTGGCCCATGTTTTCTTTTTTGAATGAATTTGAATCGATCGGCGGCATCGGCACGGCGTGTGATTGATGGACAGAGGCATCGCGATTGCGACGTTTGCGGTTAGTATCGGGTATCGCGATAGGTATCGTAAATAGGTCGCACTGAATATTATAGGCTAATCTAATGGACGGCTATGCGAGTTCGTGCGCTTCATTGAAAGAGTAATTAGAATTTCGAAAGAAACGGTGGCACGCTGGTTGATTTGTGTGACTATTTTAAAATCGTGCGAACCTGAGGTCGATTTTATTTAGAATATTTTTATTCGCCCGAGGAAGCAAACGCTTGTTCTAAAATTCTGGCCGAGAGCGTGTATTAAAACGAGCTTTTCAGAGCTTTGAATATGAATATTTATGAACGCTCTTGCGCATTTCGTGCTAAATTGCAGCAAAGTGTGATGTTTTCAAAAAAAAAAAAAAAAAACTGTAATATTTGCGAAGAAGTGTGACAACATTATTGCTTAGAGACACGAAGCGGCTGTGTTATAAAATATTATAGTCCAAAATTTTAACAGACGAGACTCTGTGAAAGCATAGTTTCGTATAGTATTTGCCAATAATTAATTTTTTTCTTTTCTTCTTTTCGATATTATGCTTTCACATAGTTCGAGAGACTGCATTAATTTTCTATGACAAATATACGTAAATACACGCTATCATATTACTTATATACAGTGAAATTCCATTAAATGGATCGACCTTCTTTCACGTAGCCATGAAGATAAAGCACACGAATTCTCGCTAATGGATGAAAGCGACGTTTACAAATTGAATCGTATGAATCATATCGAAGTCGAGTAGCGAGAAGAATTCAAACAGCATAAAAACACGTTATCAGAAATCTTGAGCAAGGGTAACGCCAGTGCAGCAACTGGCTACTTCTCGAACTATCTAAACTTATCTGCACCGTTTTATTGAAAAAAATAATTATATTGTATTAATGTAATTGTATCATATCTGATATTTGACGTATTTAATATCAAAAATTATTAGGGAATAAGATATAATTTAGTCGAAATTTATAAAACACGGTTTTTAGATGTGTCTAAATGAGTTTCAAATCAATTGCAACACGTTCGAACCTAAAACGGGCGTAAAATAATATCGTGTACTATCGGTGAATACAGATCTGAGTGGTTTATAGCGTAGTAACATCTACTCTGGCACATTTTCGCTATCGGTTGAAATTTTCTATCGATAAATCAATCGTCTGCGTCTACAAATCGGAAAAAAGTACAATTGATAAGTATTGTGAATAGATGTATTAGAAAACTCTAAAAATTATTTCAAATAAAATCACAGATTGTGAAAGACGTCAGTGTGATCAATATCGTAGCGATAATCTCACAGTTTGCAATAATATAAATTAATCCTTTCTTTTATCTATATCTCCACTTTGATGAATTTTAATATTCACATAATAATTGTTTTTATCCGGTGCATTCAATTCCATGCACGATACAAAGGATTTTGCAATTTAGATTCAAGTCTTCTCGATGTCCTCCAATTATATCTATGAGATTTAGGTTTATTTCAGTTAGGAGACATTGGGGATCCACAACTACATATTGTAATATTTTGGTCCTCTTGCATTAAACTAACATTATTAGTATTAGCACGATATCGATATTTATAAACACCTTAACAGTAACAAGTTTGATAATAAATTTCACGAATAAACTTCACAGATTATAAACTGACATCCGATTCTATGAGAAATTATATTATATTGCGATTTTACAACCAAGTCTGTAATTATTCTCGTAAATCTTGGCAAATTTATTATTAATTGGCAAATTATCGTTCGAGAAAATCTTGTAAATAAACTCAACGAGCCTTTCCCATAGTATGATTATGCATGGTTAAATTTCCTACTAGTACAATATTCTTTTTGATTAATCGTTTTGATGATCTAGGTTAATTGCTCACCTCACATTGATCCTGATCATCTCAACTATAACATTTTAGAATGTTCTCTAAACGCATCCTGCGTTTTTTCTTTAAGTTTTTATCTCGATCTATGTCATCTTTGGGATTCAGAGAAAAAGAGAGAGAGAGAAAGAGAGAGAGATGAGATTTACTTCTATTCCTTCTACTTCCAGAAAGGTACATAATCTATAAAAACTCTCGTTTCGCTTTTGACAGAATCTTTGCCCGATCTAACTCTATATAAAGCGTTACCTACATACATATGTACATACATCGAGAGAATGTTGTTACAATGGCAAAAGAAATTAGAACAAAATTTAGTTCGATCGATATAGAATTTTTTTCGAGTCAGACCGTCGAGTAAGTTGTGATTTTTTTTAATCCTCTTGCGAGTGGAGATTCAGCTCTTCAGATAGGGAGGCCGAGTTCGAAAGCTTCCGAACGCGATCGAGTCATCGATGGTATGCTCGGTGTATCCTACTCGTGCGTGCACGCTCCAGCGAGAACTAACGAGCCTGAACCAGTTTCATTTGCATCGATGCCACGTCCGTTTCCATTTCTTTATACGCCGAGAATTTTCGATGTAAAAGACGAACGACAATACGAGACTAGTTTATTCTCGTACTAGATCATTTGGAAAATTCTTGCAATTTTTATCGTGTATACTAAAACACTGGTGGTACCATGGTCAAAATGACCAATTTATAATTTTTGTTAGACATTTTATAGGCGTTCAGTGTGTTTTTAAAAATAAAAGCTTGTATACTCTCCACTGTTACAAAGTTTTTCTCTTTTTTTTTTTTTTTTATTCTGATGTCTCCGATGGAAACTTTATACCTTAATCGTCGATAGTTTCTAGCCTGAACCTCAATAAATTCTACATTCTGAAACTTTCTCCCTTTCTTTCATTTTAAAAATTATATACGAATATAATCGATAAAACTTTATCAATGAAACTCAAGGTCTCTTTGATTTGCCGTCGTATTGCTAATTAAGGACGTTTTACTCGCTCGCGAAACTAATAATACGTGTGGAGATTGGCTTGGTTAATCCGTAACGAGTAAGAGAGAGAGCAACTGCGGCTTTTGTTTAAATCGTTTAAAGCATAAACGGAATTCTGACAGTTCTAATGGCTTTGTGGCGTTTCAGACGAGGAATTATAATTTAATCAACAGTACTTACAGTATCGACTGTATCCGAGAAAGAATTCTTCTTTTTCGAATTGAATATTCATCTCTGTTTAGAAATTTTCGAAAAATTTCGTTTCGTTCTTACTTTGGCCGTCGGGATTTTAGAAAATCTTGCATCTTACAAATTATCAATTGTCATTCTTCTAATTAATTTTTAAACGACCCATATTTTCATAACATTTACATCTTTGACACGTATTGACCCACAAAAGTATTGACAAAAAGAGAAACAAATTAAGATACCCTGTATAATAATAAACCGACGTAATTCATTTCGGTAAATTTCTATCTTAGCTAAATTCCCTTTCCCCGATTTCGGCTTATAATGCTCCGTGTTTGTTATTAAGATCAAGTGTAGAGAAAAAGAAACGAACGGAAAAGAGAGGTGGGCATAGCGAAATTGACAAAGGCGGCTAGAATCAGAGACTTCATTTTCCACGAAGCAGCAAGAAACCCGAAAATTCACCGGAAGAACGCGACGAATGAAACGGTGAATTGAAACGGAGGCAAGGATTAGAAGTGGCGGAGCAAACGGGTATTGAAAGCATGCCAGAAAATTCATAAGAAAGCAAATTTGTCTGATCTCACCTAGGCCAGGTGTAGACACCGGAGACCTCGAAACCATAGTGCCAGCTGCCGGAATATGCACCTTGGCCCTTGGGTCCCGTGCAGACGCCGTGCCCGTGAGCTTTTCCATCTTCCCAACCGCCGCAGTAGGTGCCGCCATCGTCGAAATCGAATCTGCCACCGTTAACCTGGGCACGATTAGACGCCGCCGTGGCGGTACCTGTCGCTCCAGGTTGGGCCGAGCTTATGCCACCTGTTTGAGGCAATTCGGCACCACCTGCCACCCCGTTCGGCGCTGACTGTTGCTGCATCTCTCAACACACCACTTCTCTCTTTCTCTCTCCCTCTAGTCTTCCACCTCCTCCTCCTCCTCCTCCTCCACCAACAACTTCTTTCCCCACCACCCACGTCGTAATCTTCGTCCTTTTTCTTCTTCTTTCTCGTCGTGGTTGTGGTCGTGGTCGTGGTCGTCGTTGTAGTCGTCGTGGTTCTCGTCCTCCCTGCCGTCGTCTTCGTCGTCTTCGTCGTCTTCGTTATCGTCGTCCCGCTGACCCGTTACCAAAAACCGCACGCGTGCCGTCCCCCTGCTGAACGCCGTTCCGTCATCCTTCCTTCCCTCCACCGTCACTTCCACCTTCCACCTTCTCGTCTCACGCGTAGCACCGACGGACCTCTGCAAGATCACCCAACAACCCTTTGTTGATCACTCCAAAACGTCGACCAGCGGACACTGACAATTAGCCGCGATCAACTCCTTGAACGTTAAATCACGCTCGAAAACCGCTCCCGTGCTCACGCTCGTTTTACGTCTACGATTCCCCGTTTATCGTTAACCAGCGAGCGTCTAGCGAATTTCTCCAGTATTTCAGCGCTCGAGCTTATCGATTACCGATCGATTACCGATCGGTTATTTGGATGTCAAGGATACGGTTTTTTTTTTTTCTCCTCTCTTTGTGTACGATCTATAAATACGAAATTCAGCCCGAAGCGAGGCTAGACGTTCTAGGATTCGACACGGGTTAATTTTAGTCGCCGTTGGTCGGACAGCAACGGACCCGAGAGAAACATATCCCGATTCCGTGCGAGCTGACGATCGCTCACGGTTTACATATCGACGATCCCGTGACTACCCCCCCCCGGCCTTGAAACACACTTCAGACGAATAATTCACCCTAATGAACACGATTACTTGTTCTTCGACACTTCTTCCTCCTTCACCTCGTTCCCTATCTTTCTCACCACTCGATCTATCGATCATGCGATCTCTCTCTCTCTCTCTCTCTCTCTCTCGATCCACACACGTCCATCCGCCAGCTCGAAAACACGTCACCGATCTTCCCGAATCGAGCGAGGGGCAGCTGGGGTTTCGCGCCACGAGACACGAGCCTCTTCTCTCCGTCCCGAGAATCGACGACGCGATTCGAGTCGACGCTGTTCGAGATCTAAATTCGAGTCACCTGTCGGGGTCAATCGGCACTGCGCGACGACACACTTGCTCTCGAGTTCTCTCGAAACGAGTGGACGAGTGGTGGCCGTCTCCGGGATGGCGTTGGATATCGGAACCGGGTGCTCGACACCGGGAGAGGATGCAGCGGGGTTTTCGTCGAACTTGACGAGACTCGACGACCCAAGCAGCAGCAGCAGCAGCAGCCGCCGAGGTTTCGCCGTCCGTCCGACGCCGTTACGCAACGCTTCTATAAGCATCCGTGATCCGCTCGGAATGTGACTCGCTCTCTCTCTCTCTCTCTCTCTCTCTCTCTCTCTCTCTCTCTCTCTCTCTTTCGCTCGTTCGCTCTCCTACCGCCAGGCAGTCTATCTCTGTTCCGCTCTTTCTCTCCTGTTGCTCTCCTTCCCACTGTCTCTGTCTTCCTCTCACCTCTCCGCGTCCGTCAGCTTCGTTCGTTCGTTCGTCGTTTCGTCGGCCAGTCGTCGAAACGAAGGCGCGGAAGCACCGTCCGATCGAGCGAGTTGGTCCCGATCCCCGTCGATCGATTTACGTAGCGAAAGAAGAGAACAAGAAGAAGAAGAAGAAGAAGAAGAAGAAGAAGAAGAAAAAGCGCATTCTGTGATCGCCCGCTATCCTACGATCACCCTCCTTCTACGTGCCGCGAACACGGCAGCCAGTGAATCAGCCCGCGCCGCCTCTTGTCGGTCTTAAAATATTCACTAGACTTCGCGACGTTTCGCGAGCAGAGCCACGCTGCTGTTCGTATCTAGTTCCACTCCTCTCGACTCTCGTCTAATCCTTCCGACTCCGACGATTATCACTTGGGCCCTCCTTTTCAAACTCCCGGACCGCTAAACTCTGGTTCACTGAGAAACGGAGAAATTCACAGGAAATTCAGCCGATAAACGGAGCGTACAACACACACGCACACACACACACCTTTCCTCGCCGAGAGGAGAACCGAGACGATCGTCGGCAACATCCGCGCGTCGTCTAGCCTATCGTTGGTAACGATACTCATGGTCGCGTCGATCGGTGGCCAACGTCGTCGTCGTCGTCGTCGTCGTCGTCGTCATGATCGTCTCCGAGGGGGGTTAGAACACCCGGTGTCGTCGACGAGACGTCAAACCGTTTCAACCGTTCGCGATCGCTGGCTAGACACGTAGGATTCACCGCACCCGCCCAACCGCTCCGTCCGCTCTAGCAACGCGCTAGAGCGGTGCTCGTGCTCGAGCTCTAGTCTCGAGCTTCTCGGCTAGCTGGCTAGGAGCTTCTATTTTTACCATGGGGTGGCGAATTGTTCCCCACACCGGCGGCGGCGGCTGCGGCCCACGAGGCGGCAGCTCGAGCGGACCAGAGGTTCGCCAATAAGACCGGGTTCAAACCATTTATAAATAGTAGGAGTTTCTCGCGCCGCGCTTCTCGCGTCTCGCGGAAAATCGGCGACGATCACGCCGGACTACGGATTCGGGTCTGATTCCGCTCGATGCTCTCGAACCGTGAGAACGGTTCCCTTGAGAGCGATTAACCCGTTAACCGATCGAGCCGATCAAGGTTATCCCTTGACCCTTTCGACACCGAACCTCTCTATCGAATTTCCCTCCTAGTCTCGTTAAAATTTGGAACCAGTTTCCATCGACTGATACATTAATCGACAAGGACGTACGATTAATGATGAGAACCAACAGCACTGGGTAGATGCAGCACCTCGTTTGTTAGATCAATTTAGATTTCGTTTTTCTAACACCGTGTCTGAATAATTCGATACTTTTTCATCGTTCGATCGTTCCACAATTTTCTGAAACGTAAGAAAATTATGAAACATCGGGATAAATTATTGTTTCATCCTCAAATTAATCAGTAACTTTTTAAATTCTAACATCGTAACGTGAAATACACACACACACACACACACACACACGGTATCAATATTTATTAAAGGATTGTCCCAAGAAATAGTTGCAATACCCTAAAATTACGAAACATCGAGACAAATTATTGTTTCATCCTCAAATTAATCAATGTAACTTTTTACAGTCTAGCATCGTAACGTGGAATATATACACGGTATCAATATTTATTAAAGGATTGTCCCAAGAAATAATTGCAATATCCTGAAATGTAAGAAAATTACGAAACATCGAGAGAAATTATTGTTTCATCCTCAAATTAATCAATGTAACTTTTTAAAGTCTGACATCGTAACGTGGAATATATACACGGTATCAATATTTATTAAAGGATTGTCCCAAGAAATAATTGCAATATCCTGAAATGTAAGAAAACTACGAAACATCGAGACAAATTATTGTTTCATCCTCAAATTAATCAATGTAACTTTTTAAAGTCTAACATCGTAACGTGGAATATATACACGGTATCAATATTTATTAAAGGATTGTCCCAAGAAATAATTGCAATACCCTGTAAGAAACGTAAGAAATGTAAGAAAACTGCGAAACATCGAGACAAATTATTGTTTCATCCTCAAATTAATCAATGTAACTTTTTAAAGTCTAACATCGTAACGTGGAATATATACACGGTATCAATATTTATTAAAGGATTGTCCCAGAAAAATACTTGCAATACTCGTCGATTGAAAGGAATTTACGATAGATTCGGTTTCAAAGGATCTACATGCCGAACGTTTGGCTGGTTTAATTCATCGAGCTGTCCGTGTTCTCAATTAACCAGTACGTAGTCTTGTCGGACACGTGTATCGGAGCGTGGCGCAGATAAAAATTGTCGATATTTAGAAATAGAATCAACGAGCACGTACAGCCTTTGAATCGTGTGAGTTTCGTGCGACCGCGTACGAGGAAAATACGCCACGTTCGTGATTACAGTGATTCGAGAAGAAATTTCCCAAGATCCGTGTTGACAGGCGCTATAAATGGTAATAAAACGTTGCCATGGCAATGAGTGTTCATTCAGATTTGTACGATTACTAATTTGTACGTGGGTGAGCCTACGTGTTACGCACGTACATTTGGATGATTCAACATTGAATGAATGCGTAAGGAGAAATATCAACAATTATACCTAGCACACGTGTTTCCTGTTCGCAGAACATTCTTGCGTAGAATGAAGCTCGTGGAGAAAATTTACGTTAAAATTTAGGACATTCTTCCTTGCTACTGTTCTCAATGAAACTTGGGGAAAATTAGAAGAGACTTGGTAAATTTCTGGACGATTTGTCCTTTAATTTACAGTAGGAAGATGATCACGTTTGGTGTACATATCCTTCGAATATCTTTCGATGGAATGAAATTCAGAGGAAATCCGAAACTTGTCTCCTTTAGGAAAATTCGAGGAGCTCGGTAAACTCTCCGTTCTTTGATTCGTCCTTTGATTCTACCAAAGTGAATCACGTCGGTGAAAACACGAGGAACGATCAATCGTATTTAGCACGCGTTCTTCTGCAAAATGAAGTTCATTTCGCTTCGGCGAAACTACGAGAGAAAGAACGAGAGAGAGAACCTCTCCAACGACTTGAACCACCCTCGACCGATGCTCTGAAAGTAATTTCGATATCGAGCGAATCGGCAACAACTTGGACGACGTCGGGGCAAAAGTTACGAAATCGAGGGTGCTTTACTTCGCAACGCGGACGTGCAGTGGGATCCAACCGCGGACTGGGTGAACGAAGATTTCGATCGATCGGGTGAAAAAGCACGAGCTCGTCTATACCCGGTGCATAAAGCTGCATTTTTGATGCTGCACATGCGACTCGTCGTCGATGTCGGTCAGTCGCTTTCCACCCTCTCTCTCTTTCCTCCTCCTTCTTTCTTTTTCACGGAAACTAGGCTTTCTTGAATTTATTAGAATACATATTCGCCCGTGTCAACGATCCTACGAGATACGACAGCAACTATAACGTCGTCTATTTTTCTTCTTCCTCTCGTTCCGCGCGTTCGAGGAGAGAGCCGGATCGAAAGCTCGGCGAGGAGAAGTCTATGTAGAACGCGAACCTCGTCCAATCCTCGCTCGCGTCCTCCCGCTTTTTTATATAACAGAAATCAATTAATCGATCCCCCCTCTAACTCCAACCCGGCCCCCTCCTCACGACGTTGGCGTGCATATTGTTGTACGCAGCAAGGAGAAATAAATTACGCGCGTTCCCCGATGATGCTCACACGCTCGCCGATGCGCGGTCACGAGAAAAAGAAAAGAGGCTACAAAGCGCCTCGGTATACCCTCATTATTAAAATAACTCCTCGTAGAGGATCGTTTTCCCTCTCGAAACGCGTTCGTTCGAGTGCCAACTTCGAGTTCTTGCGACGATCCGCCGGCTAGTTCTCGCCCGAATATCCTTCGAGCCGAATATCCACGCTCGTGGCACACAGCAGCTACTAACAGCCTCTCCTTCCGGTTTCGAGTGTACGACCTACCGGCTTCGATTGACGTTCGTTCACGCGTCGGTAGAAAAATATCAGAGGCCAGACCTAGAAGCGGACGTGCGACGCCCTCGTTCCACGCATGCCTCTTGCACCTGCGGACGCGTCAGGCTCCACCGTCCCTGCGAATCGCATCGTCGCCGATCCGTGATCACATTGTCTCGTGTCATCCGCCGATGGTTATGCCGATGTTCTATACACGTTGCAGCTATCACGCGGCCGTTACGTGGGAACTGAGCCACTCCACGAGGAACGAGCGACTCTTTAGAATTTTTTACGAGTCCTTCGTCGTCGATGGATTCGATTTTCACCGTGCTTGCTACGTGCCACGGATGAGTAGAATAAAAAAGAAAGGTCGCGTAAGAAGTACACTAAAAATCACCGAACCTGTGACGAACAACCTAATCGTCACGAGCCTACGTCACAGATATTTCGGAGTAAAGATGAATCGCGCGACGTAGAATCGGCGTTCCTCGAAGTGTATCGCGTCACCGATGACCGGTGGTACGAGCCGAGCTAGTCCGGCAGAAGCATGCGAGCGGACGGGTCGAAATTGATCTGTCAAAGAGGAAACACACAATGCGTCGGCACTAAACTCGCGGCCCCAAAAATACACGGGTAAAAATCACGGGCCGATCGGTCGTGCTTCGAAGCGCAGCTGCGAGCATCACCAAGGAAAACACACGGAAATAGAGCGGGACACGGCTAGAGCAATCGCGCGTGGCTGGCTGGCTGGCGCGCTCGTGTCACGTCGCGCGACTCGTTTCGGGAGAAGAAGGAAGAAGGCAGCAGCTAGCCTGGAAGCCTCCGGGACGAATCCTTTCCCAAAGCGTGATCCTGCACCGTTGCACACGCTCCACCCCCTCCACCCACCCACCTCGAGCATACCACCGGCGAGCCGTT